AATTAATTAAGATTCAGACCTTTCAAATTTTCTAAACCACTTGAAATATTAAGAAACAAATTAGAGATTTGAAATCAGCATGAAAAACTAGCTTAGGTAGTGAAGTTTGGTTAAGACAGAGCAAAAAATTCAAAAAAATTTTTAGAACCCACGTCCCCCCTTAAGGGGGGAGGTGGCTTTGAAAAAAAACTTTTTTATTTGTTGACCTACAGCAATGAAATTTGGCATGCATACTCATAAGTGTCTAGAATAGGGAAATATGCAGTTTCATCATGATAGCTTCAGTAGTTGTCAAGTTACATAATGCTACACGATCCAATTACATGGTCTGCTCGTGGAAAGCCTAGCGCTGCAACAAAACATGCCAGGAAGCTGCGAATGATGTTGATCTTTACTCAAAAGAAAGCTACAGGGTATGACACTCTCGGAATTTTTTAACAAGTTCTCGTTTTTTTTTTAGAGATCATCATGGCTGCCGACACACATTGTCAGAAACAATGGCACGGACAAATCATCGACTAGAAAAATAACAGGGCCACAAAACAGAAATTGAAGATTGCTGTACCCACAAGCAGTGTTCAGGGATTGAGGGAAAAAAAACAGAATCAAAATCGGTCCAGTCATTCTCGTGCTACTCTTTCCACGAGCAATGCACAATGTCCAAAACACACTTGTGAGAAAAAGCCTGTCGAAGTTTTCGACAGGCTCTTTTTCAATGAACTTTTTTGTTTCTCGTTGGATATTGATGAAAATTGGCACAGACACTAAGAATAACCTCACAGTGCTTTCATAAAAATTTTGAAGCGATACCACAAATACTTTACGAGAAACAAATTATTTCTTCACTGAATCATGTGGAGGGGCTGAGCATGATGTCAAAAAAAAAAAAAAAAACAGTATTGAGAAAGCTGCGTTTAAAGTTTCAACTTTTCTTTACGTCTCTAAGACACCTAAAAATTGTGATCTCAGGTTTGTCTTGTGATATTTGACTTCTTTTCATGATTTACTCCTTTTCATGAGTTACAAAGAACAAGTATGAATTTCAAACCAAGTTCTTTGTATGAAGGAGTGGTGTGATAAGTATGACAGAAAAGATTGTAATTGAATAAAACCATATACTGAAATTATTAAACATACTTTTTTGTGCTGAAGTTGTAATTAGCATACTTAAGTACTTGATTACAAATATTCACTGAACTTTTTTTTATTTGGAGAGAAGTTTATTGCATCAGAAAAATGGATCACACCATGACGGCCTATGCCTTCTTTCCAAATAACAAAGTTATGGGCAGAAGACTGGTGGCACGGGAATTTCTAGCAGTATAATTATTGACACGAAACGGGCATATAAAAATTCGTGCCCCTGATTCACACATGCTCTTTCGCCGCTCTAGCCGTGAAACGCATCATCATACAGCCGGTCGCGGAAATTCTAATCTACAGCAATTCATTAACCTCGGAACATTCATAGACGTTCGTGGAGATATCAAGCACGGCTCCAAGCACGTCTGAATCGCATCACAAAAGCTTATTGACAGCACTCCATATGACCGTGGGGTGCGCGACCGCGTGGACAGTGCAGCCGGCGCGTAATGCACTTGCCGGCGGCGTTCGATGACGATCCGCGAAATGAGTAACTACGAAGACAAAAAATCGGCACGCACTGCACTTGGCATCGCATTTTCGAATGACGACGCGCGAAACTGCTAGCCGCTGTTCCGAGCGATCCTTGGCAGTGAAGGGGGGGGGGGGGGGGGGGTGACGAGCTTGACTGTGTTGTCTGCTGCCGATGCGTAAAATGCCCGTACAATATTCGGAGGAGCTAGCGAGTGATGTGGTACATTCCTTGCGAAGAAGCACGTCACCAAGAGTGCGCTTGCGCGTCGTTCCTGCCCGCAGTCTCGCTGTCAGCGGAGTTAGGCCTAAAGCCGACTCCGATGACGCGCCGCACTCGTAGACCGCCGCGCGCCCGCTCGTAGTAATCTGATCGTGCATCCGGTGCGGCCACTCGTAGTAATCAGATCGTGGCGCCGCTTACAGCTCCGTTGCTTGCGAAGAAACACGTCGCCACGAATGCGCTAGCGGGTCGTTCCTGCCCGCAGTCGGCGGAGTTAGGGGTAAAGACGACTTCAATGACGCGCGGCGCTCGTAGACCGCGCTGACGCTCGTAGTAACCTGATCGCGCATCCGCTTACTGCTCGTAACTAAAGCGTAGTTATATCTTAAGTGATTATCAAGCCGTGAACACGTCACGAAGTGGCGATTTTCGAGAGCCATGTCCTCGCGACGCACAAGCAGCAGACGACGATCTCCCGGAGCGAGCATCGGGCCAATGGCGAGGCGAGCTGAGGCAACATGGCGGCCACAGCCAATCAAGGGCCTCAAAACGACCTTCAAACATTTGCTTTTTGCTCGCTTGTTGTTAAAGGGAGGAGCCAGCTGAGGCGGGAAAGTTAAACACGGAAAAATGCTCTTTCCGAGGAGCCCAAGAAGCCGGCTCCCGGCCCAAGCATAGCGAAGCTATTATTTTTTGAAAATCGCCGTTTTCTCGCCATTTCCAGAAATATTTTTGCTACCTAGGTGGGTGAAACGAATTTTCCGAAGCACTTCTGCGCGGTTTTCAGTGTAGATATTTTGGAACCAGATAGAAAAAGGGTTCCAGAAACTGAAAACTTGAGTTTCAAAAAAATCGATTTTTTTGCCATTTTTCGCGATCCCAAAGCCGCGTCCCCCCTTAACAGCGGCTCTTGGGTCAAATTGGCTCGTGCTTTAGAAAGCACCTGACTTGGCCAAGTAGCGGCATCATTGAACAATGAAATCGCAAGTGGTTTAAACGAGTGCCGATACATTTCGAGGCATTGCACAGGGGCATTTTTCATTTCCTTGGTGTGCCTTGAAAACGCTGTTCGCATACTGAAGCCAGCAATCATGCATATAAAATTTTCGAACTTGAGTAATGTTTTCATCACCCAGCATCTGCAAAGCCAGTCTCGATGCAACACTTTGTCATGACAAGTCAACACAGATCACTGAATATGCGAATTTCGTGTCCTGCACATGGCCGATACAGCTGAAGTCACTGCCACAGTCCCTAGACGACAATTCATTCATCATCGCTTATGTTTACCATGTGCAACTGACAAGAGACAACAGAGCTGCTGCTAATAGACCACTGGATGCTGTTCTCCAATTCTGAATTTCAATTTTCAATTTTGATAAACTTTTTTATTGTTTTTGAGTACAAGAAACAAAAGGATGTTGGGGGGCTAAAGGCACATAGCCTGTCGAAAGACCCAACACCCTTATACGTAGTTTGTACAGCACAAACAGTTGTAGAGTAATCAACCTCTATTAAAAAATGAAATAACACACAAAAAAACCATCTTTCTCGGCATCGAGACCATCATGAAGAAAGGAAGCAATAGAGAAAAAATATCGTATAAAAATTTTCAAGTTACACTGAATCGGGCTTTGACTATACAGAACTGGTACCTAGCATAATTATTAATCTCTAAGGAAAAAGATTAGAGCATTAGAGACCTATGATACATAACGTAACATAACATGACTTGTGCCGATGACTAGACTCTGTTGACACAACACTGTCAAATCGCCTCTTCTATACCATATTTGAAAATGGTTTTCTTAACAGGGCAGACTAGTCCTAGACATTTTTTGTTTATTTCTTCAGTGATCTTCATAAAACTGCACAGGGTTATGCATTTTTTTCTGCTAATATCAAATATTTAATTAGTTTTCCTGTAACTCACCTTGTCCCTGAGATAACTTAAGTTCACCCCCTATTGTTTAAGGCCGCCATAGAAAAAAAAGTGCTTAATTAAAAGTGATATTTAGGATATGCCAACATAGACTAATGACTATAGAGTGAAAGTATGGAAGAATTTTTTTTTCGTTTTTAGGCTTTCGTTGATTATTTTGCAGCAAAATGAACTATACATTTTCAAAAGCAGTTGGAATTGTGTTACAATTTTGATTAGTAATTAATTAAAAGGCATGTGCTTTAAATTCTGCTCCCATACTTGCATTCTACAAACATACAAGTTTCCACTGCAAAGAATTATTGTTGTACCTTCCCTAGCTACAGGGATATTGAGGCCTCAAAAGTGAATAGTCACAAATTTATTTTTTTGAGAAAAATGAAAAAAAAAACTGAAAACACAGTTTTTTCAAAAAGCAACAATCATGGTGCGCATGTTTTGCAATCCTCATAAAGGCGCTCATAAATTGGTAGTACAGCTTTAGACAAAGGTGCTGGCAAATTATAAAGAAGCCTCAAAGTCGGTTCCCCATTTTTTTGCATGTTCTGCATGTTAACAGCATCAAAAATCTGGACAGTTAAAATGACATTACGAAAAAATTACTACTTCCTGATGTGTGAAAATTTGCAGACAGATAGAAAAATAATTGCAGACACCAAATATGTCAATTTTAAAAAATGAATTTTTTTTGTCACTTTTTGGTCCCAAAGACCAGTCTGCCCCCTTAAGGGCAGCGGAATTAAAATTATATTAACATTATCAAAGGCACTTTGATACTCTATTCACGATTCTTGACACCAGTGCTTTTATTTAAAGCAACAATGTGAAAATTGAATTCGTATCAGTACTCCATCAGCACTTGAGGTAATGAGCATCATATAAAGCTCGAAAGCAGCGCTTCGCACTGCTGTGTATCCAATTTTGAAAAGACGTGTAAAAAAGAAATAGCTAAAACATACCAACAACAAATCTTGCTGACGTTACGTGCATAATGACAGAGGAGGAAACAAACACTGCATCCTATTTAGGGTCCCTTATTTGGCCGCTCATTTTGGTGCCCACGACTTCACAACGGTCAGCAAAATTCAGAAGACTGTCAATATAGACAAGACCGAAACGATCTCAAGCAATCTTTAGGAAGAAGAAGAAGAAGAAGAAAAAAAAATATTGTCAGCTAAACAAGCGCTCGACATGCCTACAGAAATAAATCAAGACACTTACTGAGAATGCACAGCAAGAGTAGCTGCTTGTGCCGTCAGGGTCTCGGAAAGTCCGCACCGAACGAAACCTACAACGCAAGAAACGGTAGTCGGGTCAACTGTTGACCTTTTGTATCAAAAGACAAGTTGTAGATTGGAGGCTCATTGGAAATACAGTAGAACACACAATTATGAAAAAAATTGGCAGAGGACGTACCTTGGGAATCGATGTTACGCGAAGCATGCGAATGGAAGGTGAATATTTTTTTTTTAACGAGACGTTATGAAGCGTCACTAAATACATGTACAAATTCATGCACACACATACGTTAAACAGCCGTGTATGTTTTGTATTAGAAGTTGCTTACACAAGTTGCGTAACAATGCCAACAGCAACATGGACATTAGCAACACCAGAAGCGGTAAGTTGATATAAAGCGCTGGTGTTTGCGCTGGTGTGCGTATGGTAGCCTCAACACTGCTACACAAATCAATTTCGGCCGCCCAACCACAATTGACGTTAACCGGATATGACGGCTGTATCATAGGAGTACACTCAAACATCGTTATAATGCAACAAGATAACGAAATAATAGATATAACGAAGTAAATGAAATTCCCCTTGAAAGCTACATTGAGAACCATGCATTTTAAACCTTGTTGTAAACAAGTAAAATTCACTGGTAAATGGACGTAACAAACTAAATTAGTCTATCAAATAGTCTACAAAAAAAAAAAAAAACGACCGTAGTGTGTTAAGTATATAATTTTCTGCGGAGTTTGACGCTCGTTCGGCGTGGCTCTTTCAAAAATCTTGTGCCGACTTTACAGCCACGCGCCGCGCGACCGAGACAGTCGTTCTCCTCGCACAGCCAGCGGAGAGGATTGAGGAAGCGCACAGCGGGTCACATGACCGAGAAGCGGCGCCGCGGTGCAAAGCGTTTTTCCTCTCAAGACGGCAACGACTGCGTCTCCGCTGCTACCATGGCTGCTACCCTCTGCGATAGCTTTTTTTTTTTCCTCTCTCTTCGCGCGCGGCCTTGAAAGGAGAAGGGCCTCTACGTGCAGAGACAGAAAAGGGAGAAGCATGGCACAGGCGCGTCGCAGATTGGCATTTGAGAGGGGGGAAACAATCAGCCACAGTCTTTTGTTTTCTTCTTATGTGATTCAAGAGAAAAGTGAGCCCTGTAGCTGTCTGCATCAGAGTCCGACACCTCAACAGTAGCTTACGAAGGATGGGGGTAAGGAGGGATTAAAAGGATAGGATTAAAAGGTATATACATAGAGAGGGGAAGGAGAGAGCGAGGCGCAGACACAGCGAACAACAGAAAACGACAGAAGTAAGGAGGAGATTGGAAAGACGGATACGGTAGCAGGGGTCCGAGGACGGGGCACCATTCAGCGAGAGCTCTTGTCGGCGGCAGGAGATGACGTAGGCGAGCCAGTCGGCCAGAGGTGCGCTGTCGTCGGAGATCGTGGGGGCACAACCGGTCGGCACGAAATCCAGAGAGTGAGTCCCTTTTCTTCTTTTCCTTCTTCGCACACAGCGTTGAGAGATGCCGCCGCGGGATTGGGCATGGTGCTGAGAGCATCTTCGGAGCGCGGCATGTCCGACTTAATCGTCGCAAGTGCTTGCGCTATGGCGACTTTAATGCAAAGGTAGGGAAGAAGCAGGCTGGAGACCAGGCAGTAGGAGATTATGGCATCGGTACTAGAAACGCCAGAGGAGAGCTACTAGTAGAATTTGCAGAACGCAATAATTTACGGATTTTGAATACCTTCTACCGAAACGAGAAAACCGCAAGTGGACATGGAGGAGCCCTAATGGCGAAAATAAGAACGAAATAGACTTTACAATGAGTGCACACCCAGGAATCGTGCAGGATGTGGAAGTGATTAGCAAGGTACGATGCAGTGACCATAGAATGGTACGGTCTCGAATTCGCCTAGACTTAAAGAAGGAACGACAGAAACTGATACGCAAGAAGCCAATCAATCAGCTAGCACTGAGAGGGAAAGTACAGGAATTCAGAGTGAACAGGTACTCGGCTCTTAGTGAGGAAACCAACCTTAGCGTAGATACAATGAATAATAATCTGACGAGTATCATTACGGAGTGTGCAGTGGAAGTTGGAGGCAGGGTAGTTAGACAGGACACTGGCAAGCTTTCCCAGGAAATGAAGAACCTAATTAAGAAGCGTCAAATCATGAAAGTGTCAAGTAAAACAGGCAAAATAGAACTGGCAGAGCTTTCGAAGTTGATTATTAGACGTAAGGTATGCGATGTAAGAAGGTATAACATGGAGAGAATTGAACACGCTCTGAAAAACGGAGGAAGTGTCAAAGCATTGAAGAGGAAACTTGGGATAGGCAAAAGTCGGATGTATGCACTAAGGGACAAAAAAGGCAAAATAACTACCAATATGGATAGGATAGTTAAAATAGCGGAGGAATTTTACAGAGATCTGTACAGTAGCCGAGACAACCACGACCTTAATACTATAAGAACTAGCAGTAACCCAGATTACACCCCAGCAGTAATGATAGAAGAAGTCAGAAAAGCTTTGGAGAGCATGCAAAGGGGCAAAGCTGCTGGTGAGGATCAGGTAACATCAGATCTGCTGAAAGATGGAGGACAGATTGTGTTAGAAAAACTAGCCACCCTGTTTACAAGGTGTCTTCTGACGGGAAGAGTACCAGAGTCTTGGAAGAACGCTAACATCATCTTAATACATAAGAAAGGAGATGACAAGGACTTGAAGAATTACAGGCCGATCAGCTTGCTCTCTGTAGTATACAAGCTATTTACAAAGGTAATTGCTAACAGAGTAAAGAAAACATTAGAATTCAATCAACCAAAGGAACAAGCAGGATTTCGAACAGGCTACTCAACAATTGACCACATTCATACTATCAATCAGGTAATAGAGAAATGCTCAGAGTATAAGCAACCACTATACATAGCCTTCATAGATTACGAGAAGGCGTTTGATTCAATAGAAATTTCAGCCGTCATGCAAACACTGCGGAACCAGGGCGTAGATGAAGTATATATAAACATTCTGGAAGAAATCTACAGGGGATCAACTGCTACCATAGTGCTTCATAAAGAAAGCAACAGAATACCAATCAAGAAGGGTGTAAGGCAGGGGGACACAATTTCCCCAATGCTATTTACTGCGTGCTTACAGGAGGTTTTCAGAAGCCTAGAATGGGAACAGTTAGGGATAAGAGTCAATGGAGAATACCTTAGTAACCTGCGCTTCGCCGATGACATTGCATTGCTGAGTAACTCGGGGGACGAATTGCAACTCATGATTACGGAGTTAGACAAGGAGAGCAGAAAGGTGGGTCTTAAAATTAATCTGCAGAAAACGAAAGTAATGTACAACAACCTCGGCAAGGAGCAGCGCTTCGAGATAGGTAATAGTGCACTTGAAGTTGTAAAACACTATGTCTACTTAGGGCAGGTAATAACCGCAGAGCCGAACCACGAGATTGAAGTAACTAGAAGAATAAGAATGGGGTGGAGTACATTCGGCAAGCACTCTCAAATTATGGCAGGTAGATTGCCACTATCCCTCAAGAGGAAGGTATATAACAGCTGTATCTTGCCGGTACTTAGCTACGGAGCAGAAACCTGGAGACTTACAAAGAGGGTTCAGCTTAAATTGAGGACGACGCAGCGAGCAATGGAAAGAAAAATGGTAGGTGTAACCTTAAGAGACAAGAAGAGAGCAGAGTGGATTAGGGAACAAACAGGGGTTAAGGATATCATAGCTGAAATCAAGAAGAAGAAATGGACGTGGGCAGGGCATGTAGCGCGTAGACAGGATAACCGCTGGTCATTAAGGGTAACTGACTGGATTCCCAGAGAAGGGAAGCGGGTTAGGGGGAGACAGAAGGTTAGGTGGGCAGATGAGATTAAGAAGTTTGCGGGTATAAATTGGCAGCAGCAAGCACAGGACCGGGTTTACTGGCGGAACATGGGAGAGGCCTTTGTCCTGCAGTGGACGTAGTCAGGCTGATGATGATGATGACATAGAGAGAGGAAGGAGAGAGCGAGGCGCAGACACAGCGAACGACAGAAAACGACAGAAAACGACAGAAGTAAGGAGGAGATAGGAAAGACGGATACGGTAGCAGGGGTCAGAGGACGGGGCACCATTCAGCGAGAGCTCTTGTCGGCGGTCCCTTTTCTTCTTTTCCTTTTTCGCACACAGCGTTGAGAGATGCCGCCACGGGATTGGGCATGGTGCTGAGAGCATCTTCGGAGCGCGGCATGATCGAATTAATCGTCGCAAGTGCTTGCGCATTCGAATTACAGGGCGTTTTTGCCCATTAGAATACACATAGCTTTGACGGGACCTCAGCGTGAGTTCGTATTACCCGAAAGTTCGAATTATAAGATTCGACTGAGTTTATTTTTCATGGCCTGCGTAATCGCGTAGCGGTACATTGGGCTGCGAGGCGGTTTCCTTCGTTGCATGCTCATAGGTGTGCGCCCATCTGAGCATACATTGCCACAAACTGTTATAATCGATATAACAAAAATATAACAAAATAATTACGGCTGCCCTTCAATTTCGTTATAACGAGGTTTGAGTGTACATGTAATGTTTATAAAATCAAATAGCCATTACTACAATCAGAATTGACGTAACACGAATATTAAGGTCTATTTGCAAAGTATTTATGAAGCCTGGTATGGCTTTGTGGTAGGAGACTATAAAAAGTGGAATATAGGTCGGACAGAAATATATGTCGATTACCCCAACTTTGAATTCCCGAAAAATAAATTTTTAAAGATCGCAAGCTATCTTGGCATACCATTACCTTGACAAATACGCGACAGAAACAGCTGCACTGTAGCGACTTTTATTTTTATTTCGCCACTAATCTTATGTAGTTAGACACCAGAAAACCACAAAGTACTGTCATGAGACTCGTTCACACTTGAGTCTAACGACGTCTGTTTCTCACTAGTTACCTCCCAGAGTGCATGGTCCTCAGTTTCATCTAAAGCATTGCTGGTGCAGCATTTGCAGAGGAAAGACTTGTGCATCATCTCTTCTGGGAGAGATTTACA